TTAACAATTTCCTTGACTTGTTTTTTCAGCCTCTCAATAGGCTTGTGACCAAGAGCCTTTCTCTGCTCCTATTTAGAAGGGTAACGTGGTGTGATGGTTAGGGCCCTGGACTTGACAGTGAAATGTCAGGGTCCATTCCTTCAGTTTTCTAGTACATAAAATGGATAGTAATAATAATAGAACTTTATAAATTTCATTAAGTTGTTGTAAGAATTAAATAAATTAAGATTTGTTAAATACTGACTCTAGTGCCTAGCACGGAGAGTTCAATAAGTGAGCTATTGAACCTTATCTTTATTTCTGTAGGTTAGAGTGGTCTTTGAATAAGAAGAGCCTGAGGCACTCTCTCCAGTGAAGAAATTATACTTGTTTTCACAAAAATTTTTCAAGAAGTTTAAATCTACTCTTTAGAATTATAGCTGTTTTCTTTTCTTATTTGTTTGTTTGGTTTTTTTTTTTTTTTTTTGCTTCTTTCTTATTGTCTGGCTACATTCTCAATGGATAAAGCCACTGATATATAAAAAGGATTAGCTGTAGTATCAAGTGATGGTGAAATATGCCAACTGTGAACAAAAATCCTTGACCTACTAATGCTATTGATCTAGCATAATAGCAACACTCTAATTGTTTCGGCCCATTTTAAGGATGAATTCTGAGATACTACTGTGAACATGAGCTTCTCCTTGAGACTTGATGTTTGGAAGCACTTGCCTTTAAATGTGTTATCTGACCTTTATTTGCACTTAGTTCTTCATCTTTTGATCTCTTGTGATGATGTGGTTTTAGTGTCAGAAAGACTCATGGCCTTCATAGAATCACAGACTTTAAGAGCCAGAAGGCATTAAAGGTCACCACATCTAACTCTTCATCTTATAGATAAGACACGGAGGCCTAATAAGAGGATGATGTTCCAAGGTCATACACAACAGCTGGCCAGTGGCAAAGCCAGGACCAGAACTGTGGGGTCTTGAACTTTTCTCTCAGGGCCACAAGAACTTTTGGTGAGTAAGCCTGGGGCACAGGTTATTGCTGATCTTGAATCCACAGAAATCAAAACTTTCCCTGTTAGTGTAGATTTGCTCACTCTATTATTCTGCTTACATTTTAGGTTAGCTTTTGTTTCAATAGAGTGGTGTGTATCATGAAATAAATGAAAACCAAAGAGTCAATCAAAACAGATGCCATATGTTATAATGAAAGCCTTTAGGGAGGAGGTTTAGAACTAACATGAATATTCCTCATTAAAGCTTAGGTGACACTGCATTTAAAGTCCTCTGCTCAAGGCAGACTATGGGAATCTACCCAAATGAGTAACATACTGGTTAACCCGCTTCACCATCTTAGACGACTTTACCAAACCAGGCATTAGTTGACAAATTAAGAATAAGAACTCAAGTTTCCAGACTCTTGGGAAACAATTATTTCCATCTCGAAAAAGAAAAAACAAACAAAAGCATACACACAAGGTGGCAATGCCACTTGATGCAATAACATCAAGTAGATCTCTCTAAATAAATAAAAAGCTGCTTTATACATACACATGTAACAAATACTCATACATATGTAGCATATCTACATATATGCCTGAATGTGTCCATTAAATTAATCAATACTGATATACAAATCTGCTACCATTGTTTTGAATGTGACCAAGGGTCCGCTTTGAAAACCTTCCATAGAAGGATCCTTCTTGCAACAGTACAAAATAGAAATAAGGCAAAATAAAGTTGATATCAGATTAGTAGGTATTTAAGAAGGGCAGTAAACATAATATGAGACATTATGGGATTAAAGGCATTGTGAGCATATAATGCACTTAGATAATGAGTGTAGTATTGGATTAGTTAATGTGAAAATATTTTAAACATGTAAGTTAGGTTAGTAAAATAGTTTGCAATTTTATGCTACATATTGAAAGTTTCCGAAGTGAGAGAGTGACACAGTGATTAACTATAAAATGTGCCATATTTTAATGTTGAAGGGAGTTAGCATGGCTGAGTGGTCTGCAGTGGATACTGTGAGAGGCTGGAAGTTGACAGCGGGCCAAAGACATGTCTTAGATAAAGGCTGTGTTTTCAGCATGAACAACCAGGGAATCTATCAAATAGAAATGATACTCAATGTCAAATTATGCTGCATAATGAATAAATAAGGGTAGCATGAAACATATGCCAGTGTCCAGAATGTGGTGACAAATCAGGAATGTGAAAGACATATAAAATCCAGCCATGAATGTTCAAGAACTGTCTGAAATAAAAGCAGGGGAGGAAGATTTCGAGGGGCTTGCAAAAAAAAAATTATGTCTGAAGTCTCAGGTGTCAATGAATAGGCTTCAACAATTGGCTACTGTGAGTGAGAGTAGATGCAGGTCATGTGTGTGTGTCTGCGTGTGTGTGTGTGCATGTGTGAATGTGAGCAAGCAAGCGAGAGAAATGAGAGAACCAAAAGGGAGAGACTTATGAACATGTAGAGAATAACCAAATATTGTCTAAACTGTTAATAAGATTCAACAATATTCTGTCTGCTGTTAATTTGCCTTAAAGTGTCCCTAAGATATCACAATAGAAAATATATTTCCGTTATGTTTATTTACTTTTTTATTTGGACATACATATTATAAACTTTTATTTAATAATCATTGACATAACAGTGCAAATAAGTTCAGTAAATTCCTGATTTAATTTTGATTCAAAGTACAGGAATCAAGTTTGCTACAATTTGTTTTATTCCTCATGCAATACAGTTTTCTGCTTCATAAAACTGGCTCCATCACTAAAGCACCACTTTTCCTTTTTAGAGGATTTTTAACTATTTTCTGTTTGTTTGTTTTTTGAAAGATAGGACAGCCTCCCAGCCTCCTTTGCTCAGCCATCCATACTTCCTCAAGTTTCACACATCCAACCCCACTGCTGCTGGTCACCTAGGCAACACAGCAGCTTGCAGGATGGAGCAGGTTACCGGATCCCAGGAGGGAGAGAGTTTCGAAGCTTTAGATTTGTTCTTTCTACCTCAAAAATGTATTTGGTTCTGTCCTTTCCTCTCCAGCTATGCTGCAGCTCTCTTCATTCAAGCCCTTCTTTTGCCTGTCCCCATACTGATATCCTTGTCTATGGCTTCCTCCCTCCACTCATCCTCCACAACAGAACTCTGCTCAACTTGATATGTCAAGGCTTGAAACCCCTCAATACTTCTCCACTGCTCTCTGGAGAAGCATGGCGCTCATGGAGTATGGCAGACAATGCCCTTCTCATTGATTCTCCCCTCAAAGAGCATATGCTTCAGGCATACTGAACACACTTTGCATTTCCCTCTCCCATCGCTTGGTTTTCCTAACCTCAGTTGCCATTCCCACCACTTCTCTGCCCAGTAAGCTCCTTTCTGCTCCTCAAGGAACTGCTTCAACACTACTTCTCCTGTAAAACATTCCTTGATACCTGCAGGCAAGAGTCAGTGGCTCATTCCTCAGGGCTCCAGCGTTTTGTATCTAATGCTCAGCAGGCTGCTTCCTAATCATCTGTGTGTCTGTCTCCTCAAGAGGAGACTGAATTCCTTGTGGGCAGGGATGCTTTCCAGTTCGTCTGAGTACTTTCTGCAGTGCCTAGCTCAGAGTTCCAGAAATGCCTCTGAATAGATGAGTGAGGGACTAAATGACTCAATCGAATACTATAAAGTAGGAAAGAAAAATAAAACCTGAGAAAATGACATACTATAGATTGAAAGGAGATTATTGTTGGTATTTAATCAGTAAAGTGGTGAGAACAGAAAGCCTAAACACAAGCGGTTAGGAAGGAAGATGCGGGAAAGGAAATGGAAGTTACCATATCAAACCATGTAACGAAGACTGACAGCAGTGAGGGCCAATATAAGCTGTTTTTCAAGATCATGCAGGAAAGAGCTTTACTGAAAATGAAAGGAAAAAAAAAATCTGTGGAAACACTGAAGCACTCAAAAAGGCAGTTGCTAATTCGTAGCAGTTCTATCTCTGTGACATCTCCGAACTGCCTCTCTCCCTGAAGGTTTCTCATCTGAAAGCTCCTCCCCACCCTCCACAGCACACGTTCTCAGTACCTTTCACTGCGGTTGCCTCAGAAGGTATCTAAAGTCTCTGGCTTCCAGTAGATATTAACCTGTCTCCATTTACTTAAACCATGTTACACACAACTGAAACCTGGGTCATCTCATGCTACTGTCTGCTGAAACCCTACAGTAAGATTCTACTATCGAATTAACAAAATCTGTAGTTCTTATTCTTGTACCTGGCTTTACTGTCTGGCCAATCAGTCATGATACAAATTGCACAAATGAACTTACTTTCTTACCTCTGTTTTTGAAATTCTACCCTTTCCTGTCTTTGAAATTCCCTTCCTTCCTGGGCTCATCTCATGTCCATCTCCTATCCGTAGTTTATGGTTCAGCTCATATGCTACTTTTTCCACAATGTTTTCCCTGCTTCTCTATCTGGAAGCATTCTCCCCACCTTAGACATCCAGACATTTTGTCTACACCCATCTGAACCTTGCGTTCTAGCTGTTACTTTTACCTACTAGTCTACCATCTTCTTGAGGGTAGGGTTTACATCTGATTCACCTTTGCACTATCCCAACAGTTTGGCACATAGACACAGGATAAATGCTAAAGTAGAATACATAAAATTATTTTTTAAATGGATATTTTAATGCCACCAATCTGCCAACTTTGATTCAGGAGGCACGCAAAGGAAAAGAATGAACAAAATTACATATATCCAGAATTTCTTTCAAGAAACCCCCAGAGATACTGATCTAGAATGTTACTGTGATTATCAATCTCGCTCATGAAACTGCATTTGAGTAAGATACCTGACTTCAAAAATGTAGGAATTAGACATAGCTAAATATATGTAAACTTCCAGCTAATAAAGTTAGCTGTCTTCTTGTTGTGTTGCATTATTTTTAGCAGATTGTAGTAAAAAGTATAATAGGAATAACACTAGATTGCTGCAAGAAAAATGAAAAAATTTCACAGCATTATCATGGGACATAGAATGGAATAAAACACAGTTTTTAACAGCCATAATAAATACAGAAAATAGCAAAGGAGCAATTTAATGATTTTTAAAACTCATCAGAAGAACAAAATCTATGAATTCCACTAGTCGAATGGTGTGTATGCTTAGTAAATCTCTTTCTTTCTCATGCTTGTGTGAGTCTAAAAAATATTGATTTCTTTGGTTTCTATTACAGAATGGATATAAGACTGGGCACTCTTTTCAATATTTTAGATTATATATGGTGCTGCTTTAATTTTTAGATTCCATTAACTTTCTTGGAACAGCTATTTTTAAAATATCTTTAAGGTTTGCCAATTACAAATGAAGGAGAAAAACCTAAGCTATATGTCTTCTTAGTTTTGTTTTATACTTTCCCATATAACTTTTCTTTGAGTTCTACTGTTCTAGTTTTTAACTTGGTAAAAGAAAATTCAACAATTTTCCTAAATATTTCATAATAAATGATGAAAAACCCCAGGAAGCAAAATATGGACCATTTAAGCTATTAACGCTGAGCAGCTTTCAGTGTAAAAGAAATAGGTACTACGAGATTTCCATTCTGGAAAGAAAGAAAGGTAAAATAAGGTTGCTGGGTTTTCCCAGGAAAACCATAACAAGGAACATTTATGATCTATCATTTTATCAGTACCTGTGGCTGTAATCTTCAAGGCCCAATTCCAGAATGGGATGTGGTGGTGGAGAAGGTGGTACTTCGCTCTCAGCCCATTCGTCACTGGGAAGCAGTGGCTCTATAAAAAGAAAACAAATGAAGCTGTAGTAAACTGGAGGCGAAATCGTTCAGTGCCTGGTTTTGTTTCAGTCCATCTCTCAGACACAATTTTCACCAACATATAAACCAACCTTGAAATAAATAAGTCCTCGTATGGAACCAAAGGACTCATATGAGAGCTAATGCAGCCTATGTGAAGAAATCTAAGCCTGCTAATATGTTTTTATGCTGGTGACTTGCTGGCAACCTCTGGCAAGTCCATACATCTTGACTGCCTTTTCCAACCTAGGAGAGGGTGACATATATTCATTACCTGTGATTTGTGGAATATTAACAAAGCTATTTCTTTTATGACAACCTTTTTGTAAACAAGACTCTATAATGAATGCTCTGGATTATACGGTGATTTAAACATTTGCCTTAGTAACAAAAAGTACTTAAAAAATCATGAGACAGTATATCTACTCACCATTTAGACATAGTAGAGGAAAAAAATACTCTTTTTGCCTGTTTTGCAATGGAAACCTCTGGCTTTGGGGTCTTGAGAGCAAAAGACAAAAGTCTGAATCCTTGTCTTCCCACCAACTAAGAAATGCATATGTTTTCAATCTATTCTATATGAAAATATAGACATGTATCCTAAATACTACTACAACTAATAAGAAATAAGGTTTGTTGAGAACTATTTGTGTACTACACATTGTACTAAACATTATGTAAGTCATGTCATTTAATGCTCATCATTAATGACAGTATTAATTAATATATAGAAAGCATTAGAGAGCATCCTGGTTAAGAGTATGATCTGTGGAACAAGAATGCATGTTTCAATCATGGCTCCTAATGCTATGTAAACTCAGGCAAACTGTTCAACTTCTTTAAACCTTGGTTTTTAAATCTACAAAGTGGGGATAAGAATACCCTTATTGAAGGAGTATAAAGATTATATAAAACGGTGCATTTTAAAGCTGTGATTTATAAATGCCAAGTGCTAATAAGTGAGTACAGAATTATTATTCTATACATCATAAACTCTACTGTGTATCTATTATAGTGATATATTTGGTAAAAAGTGGACCCTATTTGTCCTTGATTTCTGGGGCAAGAAAAAAGTCTCTCTGCCCTTGAAAAATGCTACTATTAAGAGAACCTCCTTTGACTTGCCCCCATGTCAAGTTTGCTGGTTAATTTTAATATGTCGAATTGTCTGGGGCATGTGGTACCCAAATACTTGGTCACACATTATTCTGGGTGTTTCTGTGAGATTTTTTGGAGAATGAGCTTAATAATTAGACCAGTAGACAGAGTAAAGAAGATTGCCCTAATGTGGGTAGACCTCATCCAATCAGTTGAAGGTCTGATAGAGTAAAATGCCTAACCCTCCTTTGAGAAGAAGAGAATTCTTCTTGCCTAACTTCCATCGAACAGAGACATCAGCTTTTTTTTTCCTGCCCTCAGGCTAAAATGAAATATCAGCATTTCCTAGGTTTTGAGACTTCTGGCCTTAAGACTGGAACTATATCATTGGCTCTCCTGAGACTCCAGCTTGCCGAATCTTCCTGCATTGGTTCTATTTCTCTGGAGAACCCTGATATAGGCAAGAATTTGCTCCAAGCATTCCTCAAGGGACTGGTATAAAACAAAGGCAACTCTTTAGTAGTGCTAACATGTCCCTAGGAATGAGGCTCAAACCAGGAATCTGATAAGATGACCAGGGTACAGAAGCACGATGAGCAAAGGTAGCCAGCACTGTCCCCATGCACTGACTCCCTCCCCCAGTAATCTATTGGTTTGGTAATATGGTAGCTGTCAGGCAGTCAGAGACTTGCTGAGAGAAACAGCAGAAGGACGACAATGTAAATTTGGGACCAGGGACATACTGGGACATCTTTTCTGCTAGCTCTAATCTCGCTACTCTCAACTTCTCAGTCCATCTGCCACAGTGGTGGTAATCATAGCTGTGCTCATGTAATTTGCCCACTCAGAAACATTTCAGTTGAACACAATTAACTACGGAATAAAAGGTCTGTGTCCCTGGAACCTTCTCCACCTTCTCCCCTTTTTCCATCTATCAGTTATAAGCACAGGTGGAAAAGGCTCTAGAAGATGGCCCAGCTACCAGTGGAAGAGACCCAGGTCCTCAATCATTGCATGGAGTGCAGACCCCTTCCTCCTACTGCCAAACCTCGCTGGGCTGTAATATGAGTAGGAAATATATTTTCACTGCCCTTATCCACTGACATTTTGGGTTTATCTATTAATATTATGGAAAATAATTCCTGGATAACATTTATCATATGCTGTCTATGCAATGAGCTACCTATTGATCTATTATCTATTTATCTATGTTTATTACTCTTACTGGACTATAGGTAATTTCCTTCTTGTCTTCCTCTTTCTGCTCTCCCTCTTCTTCAGCATCTTCTCTGCCTACGGCAAGTTTTATTACAATCATTAACTTTAATTTTTATTTCACTCACATGAATAATCTATGTGTTTTTAAAGTAGCGATAGAAACAGAAGGTAAATACTTTTGTTGACTATCCTTGGTACATTTTTAAACAACATATTCAGATGCTATAAAGGATAAATATATTTTTCTCTGGGTCCAAATACCTTTGTTAAACCCTATACCAGTCCAAAAATCTAGAATTGTTATCTTTTATAAATAATATTTTTGAATTTCATTGAACACAAATAAGTCTTGATGGTCATTTATTCTATACATATTCTTGTGAATGTTTACAATGCAACCTCTAGTTACTACTCTATTGATGACCAAATGACCCTTATTTTTTATCAACATCTTTTATTGTTGTTACTTGATTTACAGATTCCATCCTACCAGGGCCAGATCATTAAAAAAAAAAAAAAAAGTGTGTGCGTGGGGGGGAGATTGTGACTTCAGACAAGGGCTCAGCAAGCTATGGCCTTGGTCCAAAGTGGCCCACCATCTATGTTTCATTAAATGCCCATTCATGTATGTACTGTCTGTGGCTGCTTTTGCACAAGACTAGCAGAGTTAAGGAGTGGCAACAGAGATCCTATGGCCCGCAAAGTCTAAAATATTTACTGTTTGGCCCTTCGAAGGCAATGTTTGCGGACCCCTGCTTTAGACTTTTCTTGAGGACAGCATTGTATTCATCTTTGCATCCCTGATAGTGTGTTCTGCACAATGAAGGTATCAATAAACATCAGTCAAATTGAAAAGTATAATTCAATTTCTGATCACCACTGCACGGTTTGTGCCTTACATGCTATGGAGGGGTCAAGACAGGCTGGTTTCCAAGAGGAGACGTGTTAGGAATAATTATACTATTATGCGTCACCTCAAAGGATCCCAGGGAACATGGATATAGTGGGACAGGACATAGAACCAAAACGTTTGATTTGGGGTTGGGATGAAAGGTTTAAAGGAGATAGCAGGTGATCGTGGGCAGACTTGGGAGCAATGGGTGACTGAGGCGGAGGCTGGGGTGCACTTGAGCTGACAGGGCAGGTAAGCAGGAGTAGGGCACAAAAGGGGAGATGAAAGCTATGAAAGGAGGGGTAATAACAAACCAGAGGCAAACTGCGCTTAAGCTATTACTTGGCCTGAAGTGAGATCTGCCAGCAAGATTCCTCAGGAAATAGTGTTGGTAGACTTCGTTACCATTCAAATGCTTAATAGGATTTCATAGCAAACCCCTGGGACACAACCTCCATCCTTATTACCATCTTGGAGTACCACACTTATTTCACTGTGGGCATTGCTAGCAATTCTACAACACAAATGTGAATTTCATGGTGTTACAATTTCTACAAACGTTAGTTCTTAAAATGTCTTTTCTGTGTAACAGCTTGTCAGGAATATGTATGTATAAAAAAAAAACGTGGAACTGTGGGTGGTATGTACTGTTATTACAAAAATAGATGGAACACAGCATATCAACATTGGATTTTTAAATATACAAAGGAAAGGAAAAAAGGGAAGAAAAAAAGTTAATGTTTTGGCTGTAACGGTTCCTCTTCTCACTAGACATTACATTTTGTCAAGTCGATTTTGTTTTTCTAAACGAGTTCCTTAAAAAATTTGGTGGTGGTAAGTCAATACTTACTCAGGTTTCATGAGTCTTAGTGGCCTACTGCCAACTCACGTGTATTTGAGACTCAGGAACTCTTAATGGTTCTCGAAATTTTAAATGTTATTAATATTACAAAGAGGTGATGATCATAATATTCTCTGACACCATGTTTATAAATTCTGTTATTTATATATATTTATATCTAAGTCAATAAGCTTATATAAAAAGTAAGAGAATTATATCTATTGGACTCTTTCTTACAATTAAAATTCATTGAGTCTATGCTTTGACAGGTCTAATTCTGAGTATTTTATCGCATCCACAGAGAAATAATATTTCCTATGCTTTATAAAAAATAAAGTTTATTGAAGTCACTTCTTGAAAGAACTTAATTTTTAACATTAACTTTAGAAAATTGAGATGTGGAGAGGAAGAGTAGTAGGAACACTGTAGGTAGCTGATCTGCGTGGTTTTTGCACTGGCGTAAAAGTTGTTCTTTCTGGATCTATGTCACTGGAGGAAGAGGACAGAAAGAAGCTCCCAGTGGCTGTCCACGGCCACTTGTGTCTAAAAGACTCTAATTGTTCAGTGGAAATACAAAATCTAAACATCCTATTGAAGTTCCAAAATACATTACATTTCGTTTTTAGTATGTGTTTTGAGTGGGCTTATTTAAATTTCTTTTCTGGGTGTAGTTTTATACTTTACGTAGTTTTATAGTTTCCTCATTTTAGCCTTTGTTATCCTTCCTAGAGATATTACCAATTTCCTTGAGTATCTCAATGTCCTCTAAAAATACACTGTGTAATTATCACTTCAGCATCAATTGTTTATAGGTAAAGATACTGAAACAAGATAGGAGGTAACATGCCCAGTATTCCTTTGGATGTCACTGATATAGTTAGGAATAAAATTCTGAACTTGAATTGTCACCAGACCACATGTTGACTGAGAATTAAATACCAATCAAATTATGTAAAGATTAGATATTTTAATATAAATGCCAATGTTTTGATTATTATATAGGCATAGTAGAGAGAAGGCTGTTCTAGTCTGTGAAAACTTGCTGTTCCTACTGTAGACTCTCCTGCTATTAGGACTTAAGGTCTCAGAAGGAGATCTAGCTTTGTTAAGAAAAATTTTAATTTTTTTTTTAAGAAGAAAAGAAGAGGCATACTGAGTATTTCTTTATCTGATACAACGTAAAGTCAGCTTCTAATGGACATTCTTAGTATCAAGTGAAAGGACTTCAACGGTTTCAAGGGATCGATGTAGGACAGGGACCATGCTGTGTGATTCAGGGAATGAACTTGAGTCAGAGAGATAGGAGCTGAATCCGGGTTCTGCATGGATCAAATATGTATGTGGTCTTTGGTTAATAATTTACTCTCTCTGACTTTCTATTTCTTCATCTGTAAAACGAGAATAATAATATTACACACTTCGAGTGTGCATGTAAATTGCTTAACACAGTATCTGACAGACAGTAAACACTTAATAAATGGTCACAGCTGTTGTACTACTCTTACTAAAATGGAGGAATTCAGAGGAAAAAACAACATCCCATTCTGATGAAACAATTTAATCTACAGGAACCTCAGATTTACAAATCCGTTCTGATGGAGTGATCTCAGAGTTTAGAAATCGTTCCCACATAGTTAAATTTTGCTAACATCTTAGGTATAAATAAGGAATTGATTACATAAACAGTACCTCTATTCAATAGCATACTTATATGACTACTGAATGTGATGCTGTAGAATACTTACTGACATAGTAAGACGTTCATAATGTGTTATTAATTTAAAAAGCAATTTCCTAAACATTATATATAGTATATTTCATTTTCTCTTCACTTTATATACACATATTTGAAGAAAATACTTGAAATTTATACATAAAAATGTTATTGATTAGTACCTTTGATAGAATTATCAGTAATATTAGACTTTCTTTTTGTTGTTTTCCTCCAAATTTTTTGTAATGACTATGTATTACTTTTACAATACAAAAACTAAAGTTATTTAAGAAGGGAGATGAAGGAAAATAAAATAATTTTCTTGGTGACCTAAAGTATAATTTTTGAAAAACAAAGGAGAATACCCAAGCTTTTTACATCTAGAGCTTTACTAGAAATGTGATCCAGGTGAAGACGATGATGAGGGAAGGAGCACAGCGAGACCATAACAAGAACATTCCGACTGTCACCTAGTGCTCTTGGTTTGTGGTAGGGACCACACTCTGAGAACCAAGCATATACCTGTGAATCATGTTATGACCATTTTACCATATTAGTCCACACACAGTTTTTTTTAAAGTTTATTAGTTATTTATACTTCTTAATTTCCAATATTAAAAGATTGTTTAAAAAATAACAGTTTGTCATTTTGTTTCTCCAGTCATGGTTTGTTTTATACATAAGCCTTTATGTTTGGAGCATCAAGCATAGAACTGTCACTTAAACTGGAAGCCATGCCAGGAATCCACTTCCCAACCTCTGAGTCAGCTCTCCTACCTATTTCTCAGTGTTCATGACTCTGAGTAACAAAGTCTGTACTTAGTTTAATTACCTCTCCTTTGTTTCTATTTTTTAAAAATAAAAACACACTCATGTTTTTTTTCTTTTACATCATTGCAGTGGATGAAAATGGAAAGACCCTTACCTCTCTGTTTGTCTTGTGGACTGTAAGTCCCAAACGGATGCAATGTACTGTTATCATTCTTCCTGGAGGTGGTTACAGCATTTTGACAGTTCTCAAAGCATGATTTAGAAAATGCCCCATATTCTGCAGGCTCCTAAGGGATAAAAATAAAAATTGCATTTGCTTTTCTAATATGTTCCAACTTGATCACTGGGAGCAAAGGAAAAGAATGATCAGTTTATGAATAATCTGTCAAGAGTCTACTGCATATAAATCCTCAATTGTGGAAAATCAAAATGGCCCTATCAGTTAAAACATTTTTGAATATGAAATAAAAAATACTGACAATGTGGTGCTAAGGCTTAAGAGTGCTAAGAGCCAACACAAAGAAGGATTAACTTTATTATTTTTTTCCCTCACTTACAACTGGCTTCTTCCAAATTTTCTTCCATCTGGGAGTACAGCTTGTGGCAGTGTCGACACAAGAATACAGTTCATGCCAAGGGGGTTTCTGTGCCAACCAGCTGGTTCCTCTCTCTCTCCCTCGGTGACTAAGTGCATATGCTCTAGGACAAGTCAGAACCCAAGCAGGCTTGCCACGGAAATGCCATGAGGGTGTCCCACTACAGACACTGGGTCTTTTTGGCCAGGAGCTAAAACAAACTGCTGTGACCATGACAGACAGTGGTTCTCCTGAGATATCTTTCTCATTTTTTTCTTTGTTTTCCATTCCTATTTGGATTTTGACAGTCTGTAAACAAATTCACAGTTTCCTTAAAACTGCTGTATCCAGGATAACACGCCCACAAGCCATGTTTCACAGGCGTGGGTGAGATAATAGGAGGGGGCGGATTAGAGAGAGCTATTTGTTCAAGAGGATTGGGGTGCAGAGAACCCGGTTTTGCTCTTGCTCATATTATGTGTCTTCCTAAAAGCTTTCAAGGAAGACATGTGGAGGCTATCTCATGGCTGTGCCCTTGACCAGTTGCGAGAGGAACATATCACTAACAGAAACAGAGATCTGATCCCCAAAGCTCTTTCCTTCTGAGAAAAGCATCTGGCCCAAACAATCATTTGATTTATACTTTCCTCTTTAGTTACACAACTCGGTATCCTTCTAGCTAAACAAAATATTTAAAATATTCAATTTATGCATTCTTAACAATTAAAATGTTTTCAGCTGCTGAAGGTCCTTTAGCTTTTTGTCAAGGCTTATAATGCTTTTTTCACATCCGATGTTTTCATACCCTTCGCTTCTGTACTGCTAGTCAAACCAATGCTGGTACTCAGGCAAATGACTTACAAATTAAAGCTGGAATCCTGGCAGCAGGAGAGGTAGGACTTACCTGGCTCAGCCTTGTGCTCTGATTTAACAACAAGAACAACAAAATTTTTTTTCTGCTTTCCCAGCTCTTTGATAAATGACACAATCGATATCCCAACATCTGATCGGTAACCAGCCTAATTAAAGTATTCGGCCTGTAAAATAGAGCTGTCGTGGAGCCCTCCATTAGTGTCCTGGCCAATAAAAAATATAATGGATTTTAAAACATATTCTGCTTCTACCAAGATGGGCCTTCAGCAGTGAGAGAAATGTTTTGGGAAAGAGGGAAAAAAAAAACAGGTCATAACCCATTTTTTAATACCGAGTCTCCAGGCTCAAATAGAATTACAATTGAACCTCAAGCTCATCCTTTGAAAAACATGTTTCTGTTTAAAATGATTTTGATTCAATCAAGGGCTCATTATGTATTCTTCAGGAGGTCCTCATCAAAACTGTTTACGTATCTTGTACAGCTGGGTAATGTGGGAAAACACCCCAACAACTATATATTTTGACTTTTCTTAAGTAGCTTCTTCAATTTTTTTATATCAATATAAGGATCAAGTAACCATTTTGGTATTCTTGCCAAGTCTAACTAATTGATTTGCCTGAACATATGAACACTGCTGAGACCTTTTTCTAGGTTACGGATGCTTTTTTATGGTACCTAAGGGTGACTGCTGTTGCACAGGAGAATATACTGAAAACATGAGCACATAACATAAGCTTTGACTTATTAAAACACAGAATTGGGAGATCAAATAGTTGCAGTTTTTTTTTCCAATTTAATAAACATTAGTGTACATTAGGCTGATGTCTTTATAAGAAAAAAATGCTCTTTAATCTATATGGGTAGCACAGAGATTCTCAATAGCTGAGAAAGTCAAATGCCTGCTTATCCCCCAAGGAAAGCATGTAAATATTAAAAACAACAACAACAACAACAACAAACAACTAAGAATGGATCTTGTTTAAATGTTCTCATAAAAATTGCTTTTTGTTCCATTTCTTATTCCCAATTGATTCCCTAGTGAACTATATTAACAAGATATTTCTGAGAATGGCAACACACTGAAAGTTTAGTACTTTCTTTTGATGGTATAACTGCCAACCCACCCCAGAGTGTGAGAATTAAAATAAAAAAACCCTGTAATAAAGGAGAATGAAAATGATAAAATGTCTCGACTAGATGAGCCACAACACAGAACACTTATCCACTAAGCATTCATATGTTTTAGAGAAAGACATGAAATTAGGGAAGATGAGAGGTGGGGGGATAACTAGCTCTTAACAACCATATTCAATTTTTTTTCTGGCTCACTGCACAGATATGGTATTCTACAGCAGTGTCCTCTAGACTTTTCTATTAGTTGAGGTATCTTTGTCCCAATATATCTTAAGTGAGATCAAATACCCAGATGCACAGATAAGCCATCCTTCACACCCATCTCCAACAACTGGGTTCCATAAAGTCCTAGGACTCTAGAGTAAGAACCAAATGAAACCAGAAGGGAGCCAATTCTCTCATAGATGGAAGCAATAAATAAGGGTTTTATAACTATGTACATAAGTAAAATCCATTAAATATTCATGGAAGCCTCTCTGTCACTTAAGCAGACACAAATGTTGAAATCGAGTTGGCTCATTATATATAGTCTCCAGTAATTGGCCAATTTACATTTATTTAACATTTACAAGGTTATATAAAGACGAATGAAAAGGTACCGTTACTCCTTTCCAATAGCTGATAATATAGCAAAGTATGTTACAGTTTATGTTTACTACTTCAGCTTACTCTCTCAGGTGAAGTAGGTCTCAGATGCAACTTTTATTCATTCAACAATATTTGTTGTCTATGATATGCTGGGAAATGAGGATACATTGAGAGATGAAACAGAGAACAGTATCTGTCATCTACAAGTACCAAGCACTCAACTATGTCTACCTTTGCATAGCCAGAAAATGGCCAACCTGGGATTTTAACTCAAGCAATCCAAAACTCTGGGGCCCCAGCATTTAACTACTATGAACCCCAACTATCTTCTACTCTTGATAATTTGAAAATTCTTATATATTTTTTATTTTTAAGTTGAACTTATTATTAAAACCAATATTTTATATTAGTGTGTTTTTAAAAGTATTCTATTTTAATTTTGCATGTTATTGTATTACACGAACATTATCTGTCCTTAGAGAATATATGTGAGATTTGTTCGTGTTTTTCTTAACCCTTAACTACCATCAAATTTTTTCTTCTTGTCTTTTCTTAAAAGGACTTTAATGGGCATTTAATAATTATTCTTCATATAGAAAATAATGTTAATATAATTTTATAATGTGCTATGTAATTGTATAATTATATAATATAAATATAATAATATAATTGTGAGTGAAATGTTTAGAGATATGAGCATTCAATAATATTTTATGCTTATACTTCATGTATAAGTAAAAATATTCTTTATATAAAAATCTGTAAAGAAATCATGATAAAAATTACAAGAATATTTAATTAAAAAACATTTATTATTTAATAACATGAAGCAAGCAGCTTGCTTAATAGATCAAATTTTAAGATAGTTAAGTCCCAGTTCTAGACTATTCATGTGCACATTATGGGGAGAATATAGACAGCTGTCTGCATTATAATGATCTTTATATTGAGCACTATACATATCTGATTAAGAAATATCTAAGGTATAGACACTGCTAACATGTCAATCAAAAAGTATACAAAGATATTACAGACTTAATAATTTATCATGTGAATAAAACCTTATTCATAAAGTCCAGTGCTCTAGAAATTTCTGGGGAAAAAACTAGACAATATGGATCTGTTGTTACATTTGATAAATTACTTATTTTATATGCATATTTTTACACCTTCTAGTTATGCCTAAAATATACAACCACCTGCTCATCACATAAATCCATCAGAACCCTTCTGGGGCATATTTTTCCAATTTCAGAATTCATATGAGTCTACCATACTAGTGATGAAAATCTGCATATTCATGTGGCCACTTCGGCAATTTTCTGAGGGAAATAAAGATTTGCATCACCTCCATCGGTCTCTCTGGCCTCCTCAGAATCACCAGCTGGATCATCCCTCGTATGTTTCCTTCCATGGACATCGATCGCCTAAGTGTTTCCATAGCTTCGTGGTTGGACTTTCCCAAAAGAGATTCCCCATTAACTGCAATCAGCTGGTCATTCATCCGCAGACGGCCATCCTAAGGCAGAGGAAAGAAAAATAGCATTAAACAAAGAAAAGAGTGGCGATGACATGTGGCTGTTTCAGGGGAAAGTTTCAAGTTTAAATATGAAAAACAAAACAAAACAAAACAAAACAAAAAACCTCAGCTATTAGGAATGATTTATTTTCTATGGCAGAAAAAGGTTTTGGAGCTTAACAAATAGTCACAAATATAAATAATAATGAATAATGTGAAAGTGTTTTTTAGAAATCTTAGGTCCTGAGATAGAATAATTTTGACATTTGTATAACGTCTCTTACCTAAATCTTTGGCAAGTATACTAACCCGGTCTGATTCTGCCATTTGCTCTGGCAGAGACCAGGAAAGGGGATTTGGATATAAAAGGAAGTAGTCATATGGCTCGAAACAAGGGTTTTCATTTTCAGGCAGAGAGAGACATCATGCTTAAATATTGTGTTCTTGACAGTGGTAATGTGTCTCCTGATAACATTGCTACCTCTACTGAGTAGTGTTGAATAAAAAATTCTCATGTAATTTTCTCTAACACAACCAAAAAGTTTCCAGTCTGCTAGTGTGCAAAAGAACACAGAGGTATGCAGTGAAGGACCAATTTTCTATGATAGCTTCTGGTAGAAAAGCTTGAGAAAGAGAATTTGAGTCAAGCTTTTTGCAAGGAGGTTATGACTGATGAGGACTTTTACTCAGAACCTCTAGGAAAGAACAGAACTTCAGGGTGTGGACAGGCAGTCCAGACTCTACTCTAACTCAATTCTAGGCATGTCACCTTCAGCCAGAAGTCTTTCACAAGCTGGAGTCTTGCAGTAGCTAACAAATTGGGATGCCAGTTCTGCCAACAAAAAATTTTAAAGCGACTGTGGTGCATGTGCCCAACAGGTAGCCTGGAGAGAAAAATGCTTAAAATATTGACAGTAAGATAAGGGACATTATGTCTTAAACCTGTTTTACACTAAGGTACAAAGTTCTTGCTATGAGGCACAGATGTAACTTTAGGAATGTTATGCTGCTGCTGCTAAGAAATTTAATGGAAATAACAGTAGGTGTGTATAAAAATTTACCTTCCATCAATTATCTCAAGTGATTCTCATAGAACTCAAGAAGTTAGATTAATGTTTCTATTCACATTTTTATAGATAAGGAAACGGAGGCAGGCAGGGAAGTAATGTAACTTGGCCTAGGTCACAGACGCAAGTCAGAGACAAATCGACTCAAGTTCAGGTTTTCTGAACCCTGTCTCTTTAGTCTCTACAAAAACTTCCTTGTTACTCCTCTCTAGACAACAGTTGTGCAACACTAAAGTAGGGGGAAAATATGAAAGAGTATTTGTGGTTAAAAGTATCTAGGATCCATGTTCAATTTAACAGAATGAAATGCAAAAGAAAAATGATCCTTAAGAAAGTAGAAAACCAGACATACAGTGGACAATAGGACCAACCACACAGCTTTGAGAGAGAAATCCTGTGGACACGTGGATAAGCTTTGACTAATGCAGTGGCAGAAGGTTGGAGGAAGTTCTTCTGCTGACAGCAGGGAAAAAAGCGGGTGGTGAGAGCTGCTATGGGGAGCAAATGTCCACGTGGAGATTCACTGCTGGAGGGTGTCTTGGCTACCTAGAATTCCGGAGACCACCCAAAGGAGCATAAGCCCACTCGATGGAGAAACTGAGATGGCAAGGCAATGAGCTCAACAGAGAAAAGTGGAAAATTAGAGCTGTAAAATGTCTGAGTGGACTGCCTCAGCAGAGCATAATGTTCCCTTCCTTCTTGTTTTCCCACTCCACTTAACCTTTACCCTAACTTGGAACAAATCTGGAAAGGAGATTTATAGGAAAGGTCAAACAAGAAAGAAACCTCTTATAATATTATTGACTATATTTCCTATGCTATACTTTATAATACTGTACTAACTAATATATGATGCCAGGTGGGTTCGAGACTTATCAGGGGGATCGCCTATAAATTGCATAATGTCTAACCATGCTATACACCTAAAACTAATATGAAATAATATTAAATGTCAATTGTAATTGAAAAAATGACATAAAAAAATCTCTTCATTTCTCTTATCTAATTTTGAATGAGGTACATAAGAATAAGAGTAAAGTTACTGGAAATGGGGCTAAAAACAACCTTAGTGATTTAGTCCCATGAAGTGAGACAAAACTCAAGAAATTATTCTATTTTCGCATTTAATGAAAAGAGGGCGATTGGGCTGAATCTTGAGAATATGGTTAGGAGGGTCACTAAAAACCTTTTTAGGATGACTGGAGACAGATGTGTGGTTTTTAAATAGCTGGAGGAAGCAAAAGGGTTGGATCAAGATCCTAGCTCTGTAACAGGAAATGAGGTCGAGTGTTGGATTTGTAGAGGCTTAGTTTCGGCAGGACACCTCATCCTCTACAACAGGAAGAAGAAAGATAAAAATTGAAACTTTATGAATATTTCTAGAATGGAGGGAATGAAATCTGAGCGAGATCCCACCTAGTGAACCTTCTCTGTGAAGTATAGGACAAGGTCCGCGTGAAGATAAACCAAGAGAAAAGCAGATGTAAAAAGAATATTTTTACATCATAAACAGGTATTAAGGACAAACTTTTATTTTCAGCTACCTTCCAAGTCTCAAGCATGCAGAACTACACTGAAGTAGAACATGTTTGCTTTCTCCAAGTACCAAACAAAGAGGCAGGTCAGGTCACCCCAGGGCAGCTGGAATTTTTTTTTTGAAGACATTCGCATTCATCATAAGCATCACTGGAGAGCTGTGGGTGCAATAAAAAGACACAGACTCGCATTTTCAGGCTTGGCTAGTCTGTTGCTATTGGTGTGTGCTCTTTTTTTTAATAAGATAAATGGTGGGTAATTTCCTTAATGGCGATGCCAGTAAGCACCATGTTGTCCTAACATTTAGAATATAATCACAGAATTTAGAGCTGGAAAAGTCCTTAGTGATCATCTTGTCCAACCTCTTCTGTGTACAGATAAATAATGTGATGTCCAAAGAGGGTGAGAAACAATTTATTGAACGCCTCTTAAGAGAAGCCACTTCCGCATAGATTAGGATACGGTCAGCTAGTTAAGGTCAAAGCTGGATCAAAATAGCCCAAGTCCTGACTTCTCAGCACTCCCTAGGCACTAACCATTCTGTCTTCTAAAAAGATGACAACGCCTAATCCCTAAGGGAGTAATGCTTCATGAAAAAAAAGGCTTTTGAAACTAGAGAGGACAGTATGTTACCAGAGATTTCCTGGAAGAGAACCTTATATAAAAGCCGGTCAGAGGACAAAAGATGTGAAGACAGGAGAGGGTGTTGGGGGATGGAGAGCAAGGAAGTGAACTAGAAGAGGGAGGAAAACCTGTCTACTTATCTAGCTATCTAGACATGCATATCTAGGTTTAGTCTTGATCTAAAATGCAGTTGATTCAAATAAGAACTCACCAACTACCCCTCACAACTGTGTATGTCCATTCTGCTTTGGAACATTTTTAACAAGTAGATTTTTACAGTTTTATTTTTTTCTATTAATATTATGTTTAAGTAAATACTTAGGCATGAGAATGCTAACTCTCAATTGATTTTATATATGGCAATTTGACTATCCAGGGATATTGCTCAGTAATTTTAGGGTATTTATTTCATTATAATCTGGCCCATGCTTACATTGTTAAAGAAAAAAAAAAATCCCTTTCTGTTGTGGACTGAGTGTTTGCATGTTGAGATCTTAATGTCCAAAGTGAGGTTATTAGGAGAATGGAGCCCTCAGGAATGCGATTAACGTCCTCATGAAAGGTCTGGGAGAGAGCTCCCATGCCCCACCTGACAGGTGAGGTTCCATCAAGATGTCCACCTTATCCGTCCATCAGCCTGAAGGGGGCTCTTACCAGATATCAAATCTGCTGGTGCCTTATCTTAGACTTCCGACTCCAGAATCGTGAGAAATAAATTTCTGTGGTTTTTAAGCCACCCAGTCTATGGTAATTTGTCATGGCAAAGCAGACTAAGGCACCTTCCTTCCTACTTTACTGGTTTCAGACTCCAGATCAAAATGACAGCAACTACACACCTCATCTCTGACAAACTCATAACCAATTCTATCCATCTTCAGTGTAGGAGGGAGCAGAGGAAGTTCCCAAAGAGGAAGGGAAAAAGAGGAAAGAGAATAGAGTAAAGATAAGAAGTAACTTCCTCAGGGCACTTTTGGACAAATAAAAACTGCTATGAGATTTAGAATTTCTTCACGTTCTGGGATGCTTCAAATTGTCTCATCAGGCCTAACCTGGTTCTAATGCAGGAAAAAGGTGGACTGGAAAACACAATGTTTGAGTATTATATCTTCCTTTTACTGAATATCTAATAAAGGCCAGTCCTTGTGCAAATATTTTGCATATGTTCTCTCATTCATTTCTTACAAAAACTCTGGGATGGATATATATCCTTCTGCTATTTAAGAGGTATAAAAATGGAGGCTCAGAGAAATTAAGTCAAAGAATACTAGCATGACCAGGTCTTCATGTGTCTGAGTCAGACATATACCCATCATGCTATGTTTCTTCTAAAATCAGAGTTCTAGAGATGATTAAAGGTACAATTATTAATAACAGTTATTATTAATGAGTTTCTATTTTGTGTAGTCATTGTGCTAAACCTTTTATGTGCACTAGACAATTTAATTCCGACAACAATCCTATACATTGGGGACTATAGCCCCATTTTATAAAAAAGAAACCAAGTATCACGCGAGTTAAGTGCATTATTACAAGTCACATGTCTAAAAGCAGATTTGAACTAGGTCTGGGTCACTCTGAAGTCCATGTTTCAACCACTTTGTGACTGATCCTTGTCCTTTATGGGTTCTTAGACTCTTCTGAGAATCTAATAAATGCTGCAGATTCTCCTTCTTAAAAGTAAATATTTACGCAAGCGTTTCTCCACAGCTGCACATTTGGACCAGATAACTCTTTGTAGTGGGGGGTAGTTAGGAGGATGTTTCAAGTGCCCAC